GTTTTCCTGTAAAAAATATAAACATCCCTAAAACAAACATAAATTTACTTGAGAAGTGAAATCACATAATATATTAATTAAGACTTATTTTTGTTTTATGCTTAGGTTAAGGGTTAAAACATACTTTTAGGTTTATGCTTAAAACAAACTATTTGCTGCCAAAGGGAAAAGGGAGAAAACTTAGTATGTTCTATGAAATATAGTGTAATTTCTTAATATCTTACAAAACATTGCTTCTCAAGTAAATTTACACTACTGTTCAAAAGTATGGGGTGAGGGCAACTGATGATGAAATTAATTATACTGATCAAAAGTGAGAGGAAAGACATTTATAGTGTTGCAAAAGAAATAAACACTTTTGTTTTGAGCTTTCTAAAAAAAAATATAATTAATTAAATCTGCAGTCCGTAACTTTTTTGTGTTCAAAATTTATATAATAAGCGAGTACACCATGAATTCATTTTCCAAACTGGCTTGTCCTGGATCACTACGGTACAGCTATAATAAGTGTTTATATTTGGACTATTTCAGACTGGTTCGGGTCGGTCCCGCTGCGGAGTAGCCCAGTACCTGCGTGATTTGTCATAGACATAAACAGAGAGAAGTAGCTCCGGCTACAATGTTCTTCCGCAAGATGCTCACAGTTCTGTTTATTAACCGCTAGAGCACCAAAAGTTACGGACTGCAGCTTTAACTAATTAATTAATCACGGAATCAGCATATTAAAATGATTTCTGAAGGATCATGTGACACTGAAGATTGGAGTAGTGAAATTCAGCTTTGCCATCACAGGAATAAATTACATTTTCAAATATATTAAAAATGAAAACAGCTATTTTAATTAGAAAAAATATTTCACATTATTACTGTTTTTGTTGTATTTTAATCCAATAAATGCAGCCATTGGGCATAACAGACTTCTTTTAAAAACATTTAAAAAATCTTACCAACCCCAATCTTTTGAGCGGTAGTGTGTATAGCTGTCACTTGCATGTAAATGCGAACAATGTTCAACAAAGGAGTATGTGGTATCGAGCCAGTAGTGTGATATGTGTAGTTTGTCCCAAAGCTGGCACACCAGGTGCATAGCCAGCTATTGCTTCAGTGCTAGTGCAGTGTTACACTAAAGTGTGTGGTGGATAGATAAAACAACTCATTAGTGTTAATTAAAGAGTAGAAGAGTGCCAATTGAAATGTTTCCTGCTACTTACAGGCTGATGACACATACATGGACTTGAAGAAGGACCTGGAATATTTAGATCTGAAGGTGGGACCTCTCCATTTCTGTCTCTCTTATTCCTGTCTTACCTTCTTCTTAAACCTTCTGTATTAACACACTAACACAGCACAGAAAGCTCACTTGGGGCGAGGAATCAAGCATTTGCTTTATTTCAGAAATTGATTATATTTAGTATGCTAACTTTGTGGCATAATCAGGAATTATAGAATGGTAATGGTAATAGTAATGATCCAGTCGAAGCGTATATAAGGCTGGTCCTCCTTTGACTATAACTGTCTATCTCCGTTTGCCACAGATGAAAAGTTTAGAGCCATTGATCCTCATGGTTCACAGTGTGTTACAAACCTGCACTGCGGGGGGTTTGAGACCACTCTGGAACGTAAGCACTGTCGGCATCCAGAGTGTCCGCATTCCCATTGCTTTACACGGTGCACATAGCTTTGTGTTGGCACAAGCCTGGCATGCCTATCTTCCCTGCCTTTTGTGAGTGATATGTTGTGCTGTGGGTATGTGTGATTGGGTCAATGAGACAGCAGGTCTGGATGGGATGGGCAAGCTCAGTGCATGTGCAGGGAATGATTCAAATTTAGCCAGCTGATTCACCAATGCATTCTGTTTCTTTCTTTAGCAAACTATTTATCTCATTAATTTGATGTCTAGTAATTATGTGTAGCTTTCTAGATGATCTGTATGTTGTAGCAGTAGAATATTCCTCTGAAACGTCCCTTACGACCTCCAGTATCAGTGTTGGGGAAAATACTTCTTAAATTCTTAATTCCTCTTGAAACAATTATTCAGAAAACTTACTAGCTTCACTACAAGCTGCTAACAAAAAGTAGCCAACTACATTGATGGGGGCAGTTTTCAATTATACAGTGGGTACGGAAAGTATTCAGACCCCCTTAAATTTTTCACTCAGATAATATGATATAGTTAAAAAGAGCAAGAGTAATCTGGCACAAAATCAATAAGTAATATAATAGTATAATGATAAATAATATAAATTAGGCTAACAGCATCCAACTTAATTTAAAACAATACAATTAAACAACACTGAAATTTCTATACACTATCATTCAAAAGTTTGGGGTCAGTAAGATTTGCGCAAGATTTAAGTGCGTTAAATTGACCAAAAGTGACAGTAAACACATTTATAATGTTACAAATGATTGCTGTTCTTTTGAATTTTCTATTCATCAAATAATCCTGAGAATATATCAAAGATATTATGTAGCAGAACTGTTTGCAGCATTGTTAATAATAAGAAATCAGCATATTAGAATGATTTCTGAAGGATCATGTGAGACTGGAGTAATGGCTGCTGAAAATTCAGCTTTAAATAAAAATTTTTTAAATTAAATTGTAAAATGTAATAATATTTCACAGTATTACTGTTTTACTAGGCTACATTTTGATCAAATAAATGCAGCCTTGGTGAGCATAACATTTTCAAAAACAAAAACAAATAAAAATAAAAAAATCGTACTGACTCCAAAACTTTTGAAAAGCAGTGTAACTAAATCAAAAACAGTGCTAAAATAATTTCTTTGCTTTTTATTGCTAAAAATATTATACTAATAACTGCATATCACTACAAAAAGAATACATAAAATGCTAAATGCTAATTTCATTTAAATGAATCATCCAGATTATTTAAATTGGCCTACCAATTACTATTTGATTAGAAAGAGACATTTAAGTTTGACACTTCTCGCTTGGTTGCAAGGCTGTGTGTGAAATAATGTAAATTTGAAACCAGCTAAGCTAAGTTGTAGCTTTGCTATTTTAGTTAGTTCCTCCCCCACACTGTCCAGTTCATTGTTGTCCAGAGCTTTGGTTTCTTTTATGAGTTTACCATGCAGCGTTTTCTGTGGAGGCTTTATTTTAGACATTGCATTTATGTCCCACAGCTGTATTCTGTTGGCATGAAGATCAAGTGAGACAGACACCATCCTGCCATTGTGCTTCCAGAAAGCTTCAGCTCCTACATCTGTGCATTAGAAACGAAGAATACTGTCTCAAAGCTTCTCACTGTGACTTTTAGTACAGTGGCCATTGTATAGTGTTGGTCTTGCTTCGCTTGTGTTGAATAGATGTGTTTCTGTCTCTGGAGCACTAAGACAAGGAGGCTTTTTCTGTGAACTGTCTAATAGGTGAGTGGGACAGAGACTCTGAAAGGACGGCCGGCAAAGCCAGTGAAGGTGGCAGAAAGTGATGTAGATGTGAGTATAAAGGACAAATCAGTGTCTTACTCTTTAATTACATATTGCTATGCACAAAACATAATTATTTCATATTATTTAGCTCAATTTCCTGGTCTGAACTGGTCCATAATGCTCTGTTTGCTACTGCAGGTGACACTGAGTCGATTGTGTGAACAAGACAAAATACTGCAAGAGCTTGAGTTCAGACTCAGTGGACTTAAGGATGATAAGGTGAGGCAAATTTGACTTTTATTTTGATCTTGTTGTTCTGGGTATGTCAGTGTTGTTATCTTTGTTCTTTCTTTCTAGGACAAGCTTGAGTCTGTTCTGGATGTGTCCCACCAGCAGATGGAGCGGTACAAGGATCAGCCGGCTCATGCTGAGAAGATCGCCTACCAGCAGCGACTTCTTCAAGAGGACCTGGTGCATATTCGAGCTGACATTTCTAGAGTTTCAACGGTGAGTATATTATGGGATGTAGACCTACAGTGCTTCCCATCTCCATTCATCCATATAATATAATATACATCCATTCTCCAAATCGCTTGTCATAGGGGTCACGGGTAACATCATATTTAATGTAATGTGTAATAAGTAAACTGGTTGTTGGTGTAGAAAAAGCTTTAATTGTTCATATATTTGTATTGTTCAGGAGATGGAGAGAGCGTGGGAGGACTACAGCAGGCTGGAGCAGTCAGTGGAACAGCTGAGGGACGTCCTGCAGACTCAGATGAATCTCTGCACATCACCTCAGGTCTTTTTTCTCTCCATTTCTTAATCCTTTTTTATAGTCCTGTCTTTTTTGCTATCATGATTTTCTCTCACCTACTTGATTAGCTGCCTTATTCATTTTTATACATTTTTACATATAAATATGCAGTCACCTTTACCTAGAATCAGTTATTCTAGTATCATTGAAATACAAAGTTCTGGCATGAAACTCTAGATGACGCAGTCCGATAGATCTAACTCAGTATGACATAATGACATCATTATCACATGTCACAGCTGATTGGTTCTCTCCTGTATCGTAGCCAATGAGCTCTCTGCTCAACATTCAAATATTTGGCTAATGCTTGTGGTAGCAGTTGCAGCACACTTAAAAAAAAACCCTCCACCTTCCCCAGCTCCACCTGTATAGATCTGCTTTGGGGTGATCATGTGTGCTATGTGGGTTATTCACATATGTTATATGTGCAGCAGCAGTATTTCTTGTGGATGTATTGGCAGTAGCAAGTCTCAGTACTTGCTCTGCAGCAGCAGCAGCAGCAGCAGCGTAGCAGATCTATTCCGCTAAGACCAAATACATTAACATTGTCATGTACATTACCATGCCAATCCCTCCGAGAGTTTTCATGACAGAAATACAGAGTTTTGGCATGAAACTCTAGATGGTGCAGTCCGATAGGTCTAACTCAATCTGACCTAATGACATCATTATCACATGGCTTTACTCTTTAATTACATATTGCTATGCACAAAACATAATTATTTCATATTATTTAGCTCAATTTCCTGGTCTGAACTGGTCCATAATGCTCTGTTTGCTACTGCAGGTGACACTGAGTCGATTGTGTGAACAAGACAAAATACTGCAAGAGCTTGAGTTCAGACTCAGTGGACTTAAGGATGATAAGGTGAGGCAAATTTGACTTTTATTTTGATCTTGTTGTTCTGGGTATGTCAGTGTTGTTATCTTTGTTCTTTCTTTCTAGGACAAGCTTGAGTCTGTTCTGGATGTGTCCCACCAGCAGATGGAGCGGTACAAGGATCAGCCGGCTCATGCTGAGAAGATCGCCTACCAGCAGCGACTTCTTCAAGAGGACCTGGTGCATATTCGAGCTGACATTTCTAGAGTTTCAACGGTGAGTATATTATGGGATGTAGACCTACAGTGCTTCCCATCTCCATTCATCCATATAATATAATATACATCCATTCTCCAAATCGCTTGTCATAGGGGTCACGGGTAACATCATATTTAATGTAATGTGTAATAAGTAAACTGGTTGTTGGTGTAGAAAAAGCTTTAATTGTTCATATATTTGTATTGTTCAGGAGATGGAGAGAGCGTGGGAGGACTACAGCAGGCTGGAGCAGTCAGTGGAACAGCTGAGGGACGTCCTGCAGACTCAGATGAATCTCTGCACATCACCTCAGGTCTTTTTTCTCTCCATTTCTTAATCCTTTTTTATAGTCCTGTCTTTTTTGCTATCATGATTTTCTCTCACCTACTTGATTAGCTGCCTTATTCATTTTTATACATTTTTACATATAAATATGCAGTCACCTTTACCTAGAATCAGTTATTCTAGTATCATTGAAATACAAAGTTCTGGCATGAAACTCTAGATGACGCAGTCCGATAGATCTAACTCAGTATGACATAATGACATCATTATCACATGTCACAGCTGATTGGTTCTCTCCTGTATCGTAGCCAATGAGCTCTCTGCTCAACATTCAAATATTTGGCTAATGCTTGTGGTAGCAGTTGCAGCACACTTAAAAAAAAACCCTCCACCTTCCCCAGCTCCACCTGTATAGATCTGCTTTGGGGTGATCATGTGTGCTATGTGGGTTATTCACATATGTTATATGTGCAGCAGCAGTATTTCTTGTGGATGTATTGGCAGTAGCAAGTCTCAGTACTTGCTCTGCAGCAGCAGCAGCAGCAGCAGCGTAGCAGATCTATTCCGCTAAGACCAAATACATTAACATTGTCATGTACATTACCATGCCAATCCCTCCGAGAGTTTTCATGACAGAAATACTATTATATGTTTTCTTAATATTTAGAATTAGTTAGTTTTTATTAGTTTTGGTAATTCGTTTTAGTTTATTTTGCTCAGTTTATTTTAGTACTTAAACTAAATGAAAATAAGAAATGTTGACTTGGCCAGAGCTGGGTAATAACTGATTACATATAATCTGGATTACATAATCAGATTCTAAAAATTAAGTATTTGTAATTAGATTAAAAGACATTTTAAAATACTCGTAATCAGACTACAGTTACTTTTTTATTGATTACATGATTACAGATTCACGCAACATCAATAAATTATTCATGATTTATTGATTCTCCCTAATTCCTCTTTTTCATCTTTTAAATGTTCCTTTCTAAAATAACCTAAATCATTTCTGAAGTGTTTCAACATTGCATCAACTACTGATGAACACATTATTTTTTATTTGAATAACCAATAACCACGTTATTTTACCATGTATTTCTATGTCTTTGGAAGGCTTTTGTCTTTCAGACACATTAAAATGCACAAATACACAAACTTTTTAGTCATCTGATACACTTTCACCTAATATATTTACTTGAAGTACCTATGAGATTTTAAAATAAATATTTTAACAATAAAGTATCCCATTTGCAAGTTCACGGTTCTTTGATTTACTTGAAAGATTTTAAAATAAATATTTATTAAGTATCACATTTGCATGTCCATGGTTCTCTGACGTTTCTGACGTTGCACATGACATGCAGGTAAAAAAATAAAACCTTTCCGTACCCACTGTATAATTATCAGATAATATGATATAGTTAAAAAGAGCAAGAGTAATCTGGCACAAAATCAATAAGTAATATAATAGTATAATGATAAATAATATAAATTAGGCTAACAGCATCCAACTTAATTTAAAACAATACAATTAAACAACACTGAAATTTCTATACACTATCATTCAAAAGTTTGGGGTCAGTAAGATTTGCGCAAGATTTAAGTGCGTTAAATTGACCAAAAGTGACAGTAAACACATTTATAATGTTACAAATGATTGCTGTTCTTTTGAATTTTCTATTCATCAAATAATCCTGAGAATATATCAAAGATATTATGTAGCAGAACTGTTTGCAGCATTGTTAATAATAAGAAATCAGCATATTAGAATGATTTCTGAAGGATCATGTGAGACTGGAGTAATGGCTGCTGAAAATTCAGCTTTAAATAAAAATTTTTTAAATTAAATTGTAAAATGTAATAATATTTCACAGTATTACTGTTTTACTAGGCTACATTTTGATCAAATAAATGCAGCCTTGGTGAGCATAACATTTTCAAAAACAAAAACAAATAAAAATAAAAAAATCGTACTGACTCCAAAACTTTTGAAAAGCAGTGTAACTAAATCAAAAACAGTGCTAAAATAATTTCTTTGCTTTTTATTGCTAAAAATATTATACTAATAACTGCATATCACTACAAAAAGAATACATAAAATGCTAAATGCTAATTTCATTTAAATGAATCATCCAGATTATTTAAATTGGCCTACCAATTACTATTTGATTAGAAAGAGACATTTAAGTTTGACACTTCTCGCTTGGTTGCAAGGCTGTGTGTGAAATAATGTAAATTTGAAACCAGCTAAGCTAAGTTGTAGCTTTGCTATTTTAGTTAGTTCCTCCCCCACACTGTCCAGTTCATTGTTGTCCAGAGCTTTGGTTTCTTTTATGAGTTTACCATGCAGCGTTTTCTGTGGAGGCTTTATTTTAGACATTGCATTTATGTCCCACAGCTGTATTCTGTTGGCATGAAGATCAAGTGAGACAGACACCATCCTGCCATTGTGCTTCCAGAAAGCTTCAGCTCCTACATATGTGCATTAGAAATGAAGAATACTGTCTCAAAGCTTCTCACTGTGACTTTCAATACAGTGTCCATTGTATAGTGTTGGTCTTGCTTTGCTTGTGTTGAATAAATAGATGTGTTTCTGTCTCTGGAGCTCTAAGACAAGGAGGCTTTATCTGTGAATTGTTTATTAGGTGAGTGCGACAGAGAGTCTGAAAGGACGGCCGGCAAAGCCAGTGAAGGTGGCAGAAAGTGATGTAGATGTGAGTATAAAGGACAAATCAGTGTCTTACTCTTTAATTACATATTGCTATGCACAAAACATAATTATTTCATATTATTTAGCTCAATTTCCTGGTCTGAACTGGTCCATAATGCTCTGTTTGCTACTGCAGGTGACACTGAGTCGATTGTGTGAACAAGACAAAATACTGCAAGAGCTTGAGTTCAGACTCAGTGGACTTAAGGATGATAAGGTGAGGCAAATTTGACTTTTATTTTGATCTTGTTGTTCTGGGTATGTCAGTGTTGTTATCTTTGTTCTTTCTTTCTAGGACAAGCTTGAGTCTGTTCTGGATGTGTCCCACCAGCAGATGGAGCGGTACAAGGATCAGCCGGCTCATGCTGAGAAGATCGCCTACCAGCAGCGACTTCTTCAAGAGGACCTGGTGCATATTCGAGCTGACATTTCTAGAGTTTCAACGGTGAGTATATTATGGGATGTAGACCTACAGTGCTTCCCATCTCCATTCATCCATATAATATAATATACATCCATTCTCCAAATCGCTTGTCATAGGGGTCACGGGTAACATCATATTTAATGTAATGTGTAATAAGTAAACTGGTTGTTGGTGTAGAAAAAGCTTTAATTGTTCATATATTTGTATTGTTCAGGAGATGGAGAGAGCGTGGGAGGACTACAGCAGGCTGGAGCAGTCAGTGGAACAGCTGAGGGACGTCCTGCAGACTCAGATGAATCTCTGCACATCACCTCAGGTCTTTTTTCTCTCCATTTCTTAATCCTTTTTTATAGTCCTGTCTTTTTTGCTATCATGATTTTCTCTCACCTACTTGATTAGCTGCCTTATTCATTTTTATACATTTTTACATATAAATATGCAGTCACCTTTACCTAGAATCAGTTATTCTAGTATCATTGAAATACAAAGTTCTGGCATGAAACTCTAGATGACGCAGTCCGATAGATCTAACTCAGTATGACATAATGACATCATTATCACATGTCACAGCTGATTGGTTCTCTCCTGTATCGTAGCCAATGAGCTCTCTGCTCAACATTCAAATATTTGGCTAATGCTTGTGGTAGCAGTTGCAGCACACTTAAAAAAAAACCCTCCACCTTCCCCAGCTCCACCTGTATAGATCTGCTTTGGGGTGATCATGTGTGCTATGTGGGTTATTCACATATGTTATATGTGCAGCAGCAGTATTTCTTGTGGATGTATTGGCAGTAGCAAGTCTCAGTACTTGCTCTGCAGCAGCAGCAGCAGCAGCAGCGTAGCAGATCTATTCCGCTAAGACCAAATACATTAACATTGTCATGTACATTACCATGCCAATCCCTCCGAGAGTTTTCATGACAGAAATACTATTATATGTTTTCTTAATATTTAGAATTAGTTAGTTTTTATTAGTTTTGGTAATTCGTTTTAGTTTATTTTGCTCAGTTTATTTTAGTACTTAAACTAAATGAAAATAAGAAATGTTGACTTGGCCAGAGCTGGGTAATAACTGATTACATATAATCTGGATTACATAATCAGATTCTAAAAATTAAGTATTTGTAATTAGATTAAAAGACATTTTAAAATACTCGTAATCAGACTACAGTTACTTTTTTATTGATTACATGATTACAGATTCACGCAACATCAATAAATTATTCATGATTTATTGATTCTCCCTAATTCCTCTTTTTCATCTTTTAAATGTTCCTTTCTAAAATAGCCTACCGCTTATATACCGTCGTAGAGTCTTTCAGTTTGGTGGACATTCACACAAAGACAAGTCACCGGTCAGGTGGCTATGCAGTATTTGACCACTGGATTTACAAGAATCATTTCTGGTTTAAGAAGTGTTTCAACATTGCATCAACTACTGATGAACACATTATTTTTAATTTGAATAACCACTCAGTAGGTTATTTAACCATGTATTACTATGTCTTTTGAAGGCTTTTCAAACACATTAAAGGGCACAAATTCATGTTATTTCTTATTTACATATAATGCAGGCATTCCCAAACCTTTTTGTCATCTGAACGTAACATATTTACTTGAAGTACCCCTGAGATTTTAAAATAAATATTTATTAAGTATCACATTTGCATGTCCATGGTTCTCTGACGTTGGTTAATAAACAAATAAAACAAATAAAGTATGACATTTTTTAGTAAGTGTTTTATTTTAATTGATGTTATCTTAAAATTAATTATAATTTGACATTTTTTTATCTAATTAATTATTAGCTTGGAGTTCATTTACGAACCCCAGTTTGGGAAACCTTGACATAGGGCTGTGCAAAAAATCGAATGCGATTTTCATGC